TCGAAACAACGATAGTTCAAGCGTTTACATGACTCGATGCATAGATAAACGGCCGAACTTAACGTTTTTGAACTGTGAGAGATATATTTCGTAGCAGAAATTGTAAACTGTTTTAAACTTACTAAAAACTTTTATTGTCTTATGTACTATTTTTATTGCATGTGAAAGTAGGTATAGGAACGTCAAAAAGCTCACATTTATTCAAATAATCACATGTTTCGTAATCCACGCGAAACGTTATCTCTTCCGCCAAAAGATAGCAGAATTACACACACAATATTTATTTGCAAAAAAAACTGTTGCTTTGAGGAAACCAAACGAAATTTATCATGGTAGCTAATACCTTTATCTTGATGACAGTTTGCAAACGTTGAAATGATAATTTCGATGCATAACAAGATAAATTTCTCTGAGAAGGAAATTGTTAAAATTATACGAGTGCTTAATCAATTATCTGTTTTTATCACTCTGACGTCTTGATTTGATCTAATAAAAAGTGTTTACAGATTACTTTATTGGTACCTATATATCTAAAAACACTTAAGTACAAACGTAATTAACATACAAAAAACAAAAGTTACATCTTACTATCATACAATTGTGTGTTTTTGAATACATAAAAGAACGTTAAAGTTATCCACTAAATAATGACAATATCATGTATCCAAACCGCTACAAGCTCTGTTTATAACAAGAGGTCTGTAGGTAACCTATTTCTTACGCGGGATGCACTACCAACCGGTTCCTGAAGGATGAAGCAAACAATAATCAATCTAATGGTCATTGTTTTAAGGGTTATATATATTTATAACGCTTTGATGAGCATTCTTTATAGGGCTGAGAAAACTGGAATATCAAATAAGAAAATAATTCTAAAGTCTTATCATCTTATGCTTTTTACTAACTAAAAATAAGGTATCGATGTAAGTGTGAACCATGCATAATGATAATATAACAGCTTGATACGATGCAGACATGCAAATGCATTTATATTTTGGTGTATTTAAATAATTAAATATGTATAAACTACTTTAAACTTGGACTTGGTATAAAAGGAGTAAAAAGTCGCTGGCAATATACATTTCTATACGTATCTAAAAATAAATTATCTAAATATAGGTAAAATTAATATTTTATGTATATATGTGATATTTTTGTCGGGGTTAGAAAAGTGACAACCCTGGGGTGGTCTAGTGATGCCCGTATACGGCGCAACCTTGATATTGCAGAACCAGTAGGATGCGTTCGGCTAAATATAGCATAATATGCGGGTTTTTTCCTCTTTTTTGTTAGTCTTCCCAGGCTCTGGAATGATTTTATGGCGTACATGGAAACGGTTCATTAAATTGTAAATACTCGCCAACAGGACGGCTGCGCTTGCGCCGTTAGTAACGCGTTTTTGTTAAGTCGATGTGAGGTATTTGTGCACCCTTTTTGATATCAGCAAGAATTCGGAATAATGAGCTAAGAATGCGTTCACTTGAAAAGTAAAGGTCGACAACGGTTTTTTAACACTTCTTGGCGTAGTTTCTTAGTTTAAATATCTTTAGTAAAATAATACACCAAAATACAAATGTCAGTTAAACAAATCCAATTTGCATTATTAAATAGAATTTTCTGTAAGCATGGGTAGCTTCAAGTATTACGACCATTATTGTGGCTGATTAACACCTATTTTCAAGAATGGGGGTAAATGTTGCCATGGCATAAAATAGAAGTGACGCCAGAAAAAGTTGATTATGTAAGTAGTTCAGTCGTTCACTCGCAATTAACACGCAAACTCTACTGAAATAACCCACTTTCGTTATTTCCTCTTGTACTTTATGTTTTATTACGACCTAAAAGAAGGAACGAAAAACGTTGTATTGTGTTGTGTACGTTTAAATTGTATAAGTATATTATATTCTTACATAAACAACGTCTGAAGTTTAAGAAAGTAGTACACATGACAATAAAACACTTAACGCTTCAAAACGCGAAATATATGTGCCCTCGTGACCATGTCTACTGCAAAGCAAGAGTCTTCGATGATGCAAAGTTTCGGTTGAGCAGGACACTAACATCTGATCCATAACATGCCAATAAATTCAATCGTTGATACAGACAAAAAATTGCCCTCGCTATGTCCGCAAACGTGGTTTAACTTTTTTTTGTCATTCATCGCTGACAAATTTCAATTGATCGCATATTTTTTAATCATTATCTACAATTACACGTTATTATCGTTATCAACTAAATAGAAAACGTGTAATATTTTCACTTGTGGTTTCATTGTACCATAAAATATAGTTTACTAACACAAAAAAGGATCACTTTGTCCCTAGAAAGTATTTATCATATTATTAAAATGCTAATACTTGATAGTAAATGCTGAATTTTTTTTCAAATTGAACACTAGAAATGTCTTGCTTAACATAAAGGATTTATGTTCAAGTTAGTTCTTACGAAAGTATTTAATGGTAAATGGATACTATTATACAAGATGGTTACAGATGCTTTTGAGACTTTATCATATACACAACGTGTTAAACTTTGGCAAAATTAAAATTTTATTCGGGCTCGCATTTCTAAGTATCAGTGTGTTATGACAAGTGTAACGCACACGTTTCGCCGGGGTGAATGACCGACGATAAGTCGCGCGAAAATACGCGATAGATAATATTAGAAAGAATATGGCGGATTGCGGACGTACTCTTGTTTACCGCGCACAGGCTAATAATAGTCAAATGTCATCCCATCGTTATGTCAATATGATTTAACTAGCTCTACAATTTTTGTAGTAAATCTAACAATAGTTAGACTAACAATTGTTTTTTTGAGTAAACGATCGTTTACTTTAATTTATTAAACAATAATATAGCAATTAACACAAATAAAAGTGTGCATCCAGAGTACGGCAACATAAAATGGCGAATGTGATAGCAAAACCGGAAATGGCATAATGTTAAATTTGTACATAAATATCGCAAAACATTACACCAACCCAATTACATAAAATTAAACGTGTGTGCAACTTCCCTGGATCAGAAACTATTTCAATGATGTTGCTATCGCCGAAAATTATTACTGAAAGCGAAAATACGATACGTATTGAAGTAAGTTTATTTTCATCTTCAGAGAATGTTTTTAGGTCGGAACGGAAGTGTGTAAGACTCCGCTCAATTTATGATATTTCACCGAATCTCACGATAAACAGCTGTTGAAGCTTTGGCTCGAGAGCCCAGGACGTCTATAAAATATCTTATTAATAAAAAGCTCTAGCAAAAACTAAAAATTGACCAGATAATAATTTTATTTCCAAAATCCTGGCCATGAGATTTGCAATTAGTCTAATCTCTCTTACTTATGGTTTCTAAAAAGGTTATATATTTTTAATCTAACCACAGATTTCGTAACACACCACAGATGTATTAGAGCGTGTCTTCCACACAGATCAGGTAAAAAAAATCTATAATCTTAAAAAATAAAACTCTACATTGTTTGATGTGAAGACAATCGAATTGGTGTTAACGTAAATCACCAGCAGATAAAATATTATGTTGAATGTAGAAAAATAAAAGAGTGATAAGCGGTTAGCAGATAGCGAGTATTAGATTGCGTCAGGCGCTCGCCTTGACCCCAATAGGCGAGTCGGGCCACGTTTTCCTCTTTACATGTCACAGTTTCACTTTCAAATTATTACACATTATATGCGCCATGCTTCTATCAATCATTAGACAACTTTACAATTATTTATTTAGACTAGACAAAGAAGAAGCAGCATTGACAGGGTCGTTGGTATTATGGTAGCATTGTATGGCTAATAATCAACAAGTCCAACATTTTTCTAATCAATTTATAACTTTTTCTGAAACATTTTGAACTTTGTCTCGTAATCTGTATTATTAAGTGGGTGGTAAGAACATCCAAATTAAACCACTGTCCCACAGATGAAAAACCGTCCAGTTTAATCGCGTTTCGGTTGCAGTCTGAGAATTCCGCAGTCCAATATCCAAAGTCAAAATAGATTGACGATGACGGAGCATGATGTTAAGATTTTATATGAAACTATATACCATATAAAATCTTAATAGGAAAACTTGTCTGTTCTCCTCTATTATACAAACTTAATATTAAATAAAAATTGAAATAAAATATAATAATAAATACTTAGTAAAATATTTCCTTTATTGATTATTTTATGGCTCTGTATGCTAATGATAAAATCATTGACACGTTTTGAATCTGTGACGATACGTCGCATCGCTTTTTTAACAATAAAAGGAATATATTCTTAGCTTATTACTGTATTAATTTCATACAATACTCGGATGAGTATAGACTATATAACATAGATGTAGCTCTTGTTTTAGTAAATTGGAGTATTATCCTCATTGCGTCAACAAATAATTGAATAGGAATTCATAGTCGATTAACAATGAAACCAAAGTGAATTTTATTTCCGCTACACATTGCATTGTTAGCATTAGATTGTTTTCAAACATCCCAGCTAGACATCTCCCACTGTGAGAACATTGTAGATTTCAATTACATTTGTTATTGAAGCCATAGTCAACATTATAGGGTTGCCATATCCTAAAGCAAATCAAATGAAAAGCAAAAAGAGCCCATTCCAATTCAATCACCGAAAAACCAAAACAATATATTAAATAAAAGATACGACAGTTTACGAACGAATGGTGCATCCGTAAACACGTTTTACAGATAATGTGTGACTTTTCGTACATACTCCTGTTTATGTGGCCACAGATAAACATTCATGCATATAAAGAGTAACTTCCTTTTTTGAGCATCAACCCACTTAATATAAATTACATTTCAATAGAATCGAATATCGTTGTATTTCCGTTCTAGATATTAATTAGTATTATATATTGATAGCGGAGTAATGGCTAAACAGAATGTTAAAAAAAATTATTTCGTGTTGTGCAGTTACCAATTGGAAACATTTATTTTTTACATACTTATCTGTTTTAATTGTATTTTTTTAATCCTTCCAGTATCTGTCGGCGAAAGAGACCCCTACGGCTACGGCTACGGGGGCGGAGGAGGGCACCACTTCGCTGCGCCGGCGCCGCCCCCCCTTCCGCACGATGACCTCCCCTACTCGGTGTTCGACTTCGGCGACTACCAGCGACACCACCATCACAACAAACTGAAGCCGAAGAAGAGGCCCCGCACCGACGCGCCCCCCACGCCCGGCGTCAAGCGCAAGAGCCGCGAGGGTTCCACCACTTACCTCTGGGAGTTCCTGCTTAAGCTGCTGCAGGACCGAGAGTACTGCCCGCGATACATCAAGTGGACGAACCGCGAGAAAGGGGTGTTTAAGTTGGTGGACTCGAAGGCGGTGTCTCGACTGTGGGGCCTGCACAAGAACAAGCCGGACATGAACTACGAGACGATGGGGCGGGCGCTGCGCTATTACTACCAGCGCGGCATCCTGGCCAAGGTGGACGGGCAGCGCCTCGTCTACCAGTTCGTGGACGTGCCCAAAGACATCGTCGAGATCGATTGCTCGCTCGCGTGAATCTCTCACCCCGGACCGCTTGTTTCGCTTCTAACTTTTCCACTTAGTGAATTCTACGACGCATTGCGATCGCTTCTTTCATCGCATATACTTATATTTACATTGAAGAGACGAAATCGATTGCTCAAACGTTTATATGTATGTCTATTTTTAGGGAAATTTCAGAAAGGAACACTTAAATTTGCTAGATGTTTACGGTGCGGTGTGAATTTTGTATAATGTTGAAACGAATTTTTAATGTTTGTATCGATGTTTGTATATTGTACGTCGCCTCCGACATAACTTCCTACCTCAAAACTACGCAAAACACATATTCATATGATTATACAATTTATTCGAACAGTTTACAATATGCAATAAGTGTGTAGTCTAAATGAGAGTTTTATTGAATTAATATTTACGTAAAAAAATATATTATAGTGAATGAAAAATTAACATATTTTCCTTCAGATGAATAATTATGTATTTCTTTGGTGCTTTATAGCCATTGCGAGTTGTTACAAACGAAAGACCTCATGTTTATATATCATTATATGTTATATTGTATTGAGTATATGAGTCTATATATCTAGCCGTTGTTCCTTTGTTGTAGCCCGACCTTAATACGTGCGAAGGGTGCGCCCCGACGATTCTGTACGGACAGACCGTCTAGGTACAGAATCGTCGACCGCACTGCGCGCTATCTCTGGTTCTAAGTCGTTCGACACTAGCACGCGACGCAGCAGCGTGTCCGACGTCTTAGCGAAGCCGAATTTTCTATTGATATTATTTAGTCGTTCGTAGAATGTCCAGGCGTGACGTATAAGTACTGAAACCTACTGCCAATCTTCTGTTTAATAACCGACGAATAGTTGTAAGTGATGATTGAGTTAATTACAAATTAATGTTTACTCGTAAGTGAGCTCTTCAAGTTCTAGTTTATTTTATTTAAATTTATGTTAAGCTGTTGGGAGGGGATGCCGCGTCGACATCTCAACATATCACAAGAATTGCTAAAACCCTAATTTTCCTCAGCATATCACGAAAACCAGAAATCTGCCTAACTAAAGAAATACTTAGTCGACTCGGGGTCCCTATTTTTGTTACCTGAATTAAATGTTATTAATTAATTACAATTTGTGGTCCAATGTTAATGAAACATAATACTTTTTAACTAGATAGAGATCGGTTAAGCTATAGTCTAGTTCGCGTCGAGTCACATCGATGTCGATCTACGTAAAACACACGTACAATTAAATAGTTTTATCTGTCTGCGCGTGAGTAAGGGATTGTAATTTAAGTGTTGTGCGTCCAACTAGAGGGCGCGCTTTCCGAAGTCCATAGATGTTGGGGTTATGCGCGAATCCGACAATTGTCCAGAGACAGAAATAAGGCACAGTGAGCCTACAATCCAGATTTAACTTTTGGACCTTTTCAAATTCGCGCAGAATCCTCTCGAAGCAGAATGTTGTGCGATATTTTTATACTTAAAGTTGGAATATATCAATATATTAGCGAGTAAGGGATACGGAAGGACCGCGCGCCCTCCGGTCACAAATGAGGGTCAGCGAAGCCTTAAATGAAACGAGACGTAAAGAAAATGGGTGCTAAGAAGTGTGGGACCGGAACGCAGACTCATACTATAAAAGCTTCTACTGAAAGTATATTTGTACCTCCATACAACGTCTGCCCAGTGTTAGTTACGTTCGCGTCGGAGTGAACGATCTCATAGACGAACGAATCCAGTGCCCGTTTCGTGTGAGATTGTGGAAATTCTATTCGTATTTTTAATAGTTAGACGAAATCCTCGACGTCTCAATCGGAACTATTTTCTTGCTTTTGTACATATATTATAGGTTTAACTTATTTATTTCGGGTCACGCGACGCAGCCCAGATCCACGCAGTCGGCGGAGCGAAGTCGTTATTTAATCGTTTTCAGATTCTATTTAAATTCAGCTAGCATAAGTTCGGATATGCATCTATTAGCGTACTATTTAGACCGGGTCGGCCCATTGCGCGGATCTCGCTCGCGCGCGATTCACTTTCTTTTCCTTTTTAGGAAATTTCGTTCTATAGGTTACAAATTTTATTGTAAAATTTATAATTATACTATAAATAAATTTAATAGTAGGTAATGAATGGACCAGGCGACGGCAGGGAGCGCTCTCAGAATTTGTGATTCGGCTAGTGTTGCAGAGTTACCGGTAGTGGGCGGAATGTCTGAGCGACATTAAAAATTATGCTCGTATTAAATAATTTTAGTCGAATTGATGTTGTTAACGAATCAAAGTTTCTAATAATTAATGTACTTAAAGTTTCAATGTAAATTAATGGCACTTCGATTGGAATATTGTTAAAATTATTTTAATGGAGACTAGTCCTAAAGATATTTCATTTTAAATTATCGCGCACGCCGTTCGGCAGAGGGCGTTGTGGTTTCTGGTCGGAGATTGTAAATAGTTACATTGAACGCACATCCTCACGACCCGTCGAGACCGAAGCCAGCGGGAGCGTCCGTCGCTAATACTAGTCTCTCGAGGCGCGGTTAGATAGAAGGAATAAAATTGTGAAATTTATTAGCGCGGAAGCAATCAGAAGGTTAGTGAATTCGGTGATAAGGTGGGAGGGGGGATCGAGCGCAGGGAACGTTTTGTCTAATAATGTTTCAATACTTTAATGTTATTCGTTAATAATTGTCCAAGATTTAATACGTAACTCGTGAGTGTTGTCTCGTTTTGTCTTCATTTGATTCCTTTTAATTCTTATCTTGCATCAAAATTAGGGAGCCGGCCATTCGACACTAGATGGCGTTGAAGTCCAAATTAATTTATTTTATTCTGAGAGTTTTGTGCGATAGTGATTTTTGTGTTACAGCTTTTAGGTTAATGTTAAAGTCCGTTTATTTTAATTTTAGTTGTATAATTTAACAAAATACTGTATTTTCTGCCCCCTAGTTAAGTTATTTTTCTATGTATAGCTAGTTATAAGTGTAAATGATGTAGCACATAAATTTGATGCATGATGATAATGTTAATAAAATATCCACAATAAAATACAATTTTTGTTTTCAATTCCACCTACTATAGCTAAAACCAGCTTGTATTATTAGATATAATATATTACACCAAAATTTAAACCTAAGTAAAACAGATTGTACAATAACTAGAGTCAATTAAATTGCCAAAGGGTTTGGTTTTATTAGAACTTTGTTGATTTCGAGCCTTTATGTCACATTCGACATCTTTTGAAGATGCCATCCAGCCACGTTGGCAAAAGGTCAAAAACTAAATCTGACAGATGCTGGACTTATTGCTAAAAATATTACATAGTACTAATAATTTAACTAAGTTCAATCTTCATTTTGTATTGAAGAGGGTATAAGAGCTTAAACTTGGACCACGCTGAGCTATCACTAATAGCCACTTAAGTAGATAGAAGAATGATTCAATTCATTGTTAATGATAGTTCTAGAGAAAAAGGCAATAGAGTGGCTCCTATAAAATGTTCTAAATCATTTGTTTATTTTTAATTACTTTGAAGATAAATTCACTATTAAAGCGTATACATTATATTATATTACAGTCCTTATGTATTGGCTCTTATACAACAGAAGAGACGATATAAGAGATTTAATAATCTTGAAACCACATTTGTAACTAGAAACAAGAAAAAGCCTGCTTTGATAAAATGTGTTTTGTAATTTTCGTTTTTCATAAAAAATTGTGCTAGACTTAAATTATCTGGCTTAATAATTTGATTAGTTAAAAAATAACTGATAATGTTTAAGGATATTTGTAAGAATTTACTTTTTTACAATTTAAACAGTATATAGTATAGAGTAGGTTGTATAACATTTATTTTCATCAAAGACAAAAGATTTTTTTTTATTTATGTCTGTTTTTTTAATAAATTACGAAATGCTGCTTATCAATAAACATTTACTGAACGCAATCTTAATAACGTCCCAATAACCAACTGTCGTCGAATGACGTGTTACTGATATGTCAATGTCAAAGTCTTGACGTGTAACTAAGAAATCGAATGATTTGTATTCCTATTTATTTCGAAATAAATAAATAATGAAAAGGAAAAATAAGGTGAAAGTTTGACGATAACGATAATAGACTTACATTCATATATTTTGTAAAGAGAGTCATTCAAAGTGTGTAAAGATGGTGTTAATGACTATGATAGCTCGAGTGGTCGATGGCCTACCTCTGGCTGCAACTATGCAGGAAGATGACCAGGTATAGTTTGTTTACTTTCAAATAATTAAGTGACTCTGCATTGTGTTTTATTTGCCTATGAATTTCCTTTAAAGTAGTTTATTTTTTAAAGCCATTGCCATCAAGTGAAAGGCTATTTAGGTATAAGTTTGATTTTTCTTCTTTATTTGTTTTGTTTAAGTTCTACTTTCATTTTTAAACTTTAATCGCATTTCTCCACACGGCCTGAACTTGGCTGTATTTAAAAAATGTAGACAGAATTAGCTTTTTAGGTAAAAAAATGTAGAGAAAAGAACCCATATGGAACTTTACAGTTGATATTATAATGGGCACATATTTAATTAAAGTTATAATGATTTGCAGAGCGGCTGTAATGTTTTGGAATATCAGAATCAGGCCAAAATGCTGTTTAGAAAATTAACTCCACAATCACCTACACGGTGCTCAATAGAAACTGGGCCTTATCTTTTTCAGTGAGTCCTTTATTAATTTATTGTTTTGTTACTTTAATAAATGGCTTTATTGCATCGTAATTTTAATATAATCCGTTCTATCAATATTGAGGATAATGTTATGTTATGTTTTATTTTATGGTCTCCAATAATTTAAACATTATTTCATTGCATACTACAAAGATTTGATTTCAATCACTTAATGCATTATTCAAATTATTTTGTATCCAACTTTCCAATGTATGTTAATATTATTTTAGAGCACTTGTACTAAAATTGTTTGTATTTTTTTATACTTATGTAATATTTTGAAATAATTGTTATATATTTTTCAGCTATTTGATAGAGAATGAAATCTGTTACTTGGTTCTTTGCGAGAGGAACTACAGCAAGCGACTTGCATTCAGTTATTTAGAAGAAATTGCACAAGAGTTTTTCCTACAGTACGGGAAAAGGGTACAGTAGAGTTTATTCTTCTTTAGTTTAGTTTATTATTTCTAATGTGTATAGTTGTGCTACTGACACTTATTTATATTTAAGTAAATAATAAAATTATTGCATAATACATATTTTTTATTTAAGAATTAATGTCTTAAGTTATCAACAGGTGAATACAGTTACTAGACCATACACATTCATAGAATTCGACACGTGGATGCAGCGAACACGCAAGCAATATGCCGAAGGCGGCGCCAGGGCGAGGCGAGCTGCGGGCACCAGTGGGACAGCCGCTCAACTTGGTGGACAGCTGGGTGATGTTCAGAGGATTATGATGCAGAACATAGATGATGTATTGCAAAGAGGAGCTATTCTATCTGGTATATATTTTATCATATTAATTACTGTCACAGGCCTATTAAATAAATAATTTTTCATTTTCCATATATGTTAAGATTGATATATAAATAGTTCATTGTTTTAGAAAAATCATATTTTGGACTCTTTTCAGAACTTGACACAAAGACACAAAAACTGTCAATGATGTCGCAGAAGTATAAGAAAGATGCAACCTACCTCAATACCAAGTCGATGCTAGTTAAGGCAACAGCTGGAGCAGTGGTGTTGCTTGTCTTTGTTCTGTACTTCTGGATCTTGTAGGTTAAAAGGTGAGGTATACCTCAGTGAACCTATTTAAAAAATAGAATGTCATATTTGTACAAAATTTATGAATTGGATAAGATGTGACGTTATAGTTTCTTAGTACACCCTGTTCTTAAGTTAACTAAACTACAAAAAAAAATAATTTCAAAGCATTAAGAAGTCATTTGAATCTGGTAGTTTTTTAAAATGTTATGGACCATTGGAAATAATTTATTTATGAAAACAGGAAATTTTTTGAGGAAATATATTTTCAACAGAAGTCAAACAGCTAACCACACCGTTTTATCTCCATTGAGTGGTATACTTTTGCGTGGTTTATTTATTAAAGTTACCAAATGTAATTGGCGTATATAAAAGATTCACTGATGTATATCTGCTATATTGTAATATATTATCGATTTCTTTCCTCAAAAGTGACTGAAATCAATCTGTATATGCTAAAATTATGGGAATATGCATTCCAACATATAATTTAATTGGTGGAAGCTGACACTTAATTATTGAAATTGGTTGAACAATTAATTTTTTTAAGCTATATATTGCATATTTGGTCATACTTCATATATCCAGAATTATATTAACATTCTCTAGAGGAACTAAATGTATTATATTTATGCAACATATTTTTCTTAATTCAAGACAAGATTTAATTTTAGACTGAAGGAAAAATTAATAAATTAAAGAACTAATTATAAATTGTATTCTCTTCCTCAGTTCATATTACAATTCCTTGATTATATTTAATATAATTTATAATTAATTCTTGTTTAAAATAAACTTGTTACAATAGTTAAGAGTTAGCTGTCTAAATATAGTTAGGTCGACAAGCACAGTGCAAATACGCAATAATAATATAACTTGGTGTCAAATTGTCCCAAGGCCAATATTATTTTTATATGATAGAAAATAATATCAAGTGAATGCGGTGGGGGAATGTTGTATATGATTTGATTTCTTGTTATTAATTGTATTTATTTAAGATGTATTAAATGCCTCCTTTTCATTTTGTATTTGATCTACAAATCTTATAAATTTTATTTAACTAAAAATTTTCACAATAGTTAGACTATATCTATATGACACTTATCCAGAAATCTACAAGTGGTGTTATTTTTTTTCTTGTCGACTATTTCACCCATTTTCCCTTTCTGCCTTTGTTAACAAGTGGTGTTCATCAATATTCAATGAAATATTGGATTTAAATAATGTGCAAAGCAAAGCTTATCTTAATTGTTTATGAGGGTGACTATCACCCTCAACCCTTAATTGTATTGGAGCAACATGATTTTTAGATATATAATTAATTGTTTTCTGTAGTTTTATGGCCGTTGTCGGACTCAGGACCTGTAACAATAGAACATGCTCACTTATCCCAAGAATGTTTATGTTGCATGATGTATCTCAAAAAATAATAACCTGAATTATTTTAACAAACAAAATTGTTTCCTTCATCCATTGTAAAGTGCCAAATAACTGCACAGTAATAGGTATAACAGTGTTTGGAACAGGTGTTTTGAGGTGAGACATGGAAACCACAATTTTTGAAGAATTTACATCAGCATTTTTCTCTACCTGAAATAGCAAGTATTTTCTATATACCAAGGCTTATGTGTATAACGTTATAATCATTATGCAAAGTTTTTAAAATTATCTATGAAGTATATTCATTTATATATTTCCTTCAATAAATAAATATACAATCTAGCGAAAGTCTAACAATCTCAATTATGTTGCTTGAAACAAATAGGTAATTTTTTCAATACGATACCGTCAAACCTACATCATTTAAATAAAAGCGACCGTTGACGCTTTTTAAAACTCCAATAGTTCGACATTTAAACGCTTGGCTTTTCTTGCGGTATCCTTCTAATATTAAGTCTTCAATAGTGTAGTATGTAAAAAAACCACTCTAAAAAGAAAAGATACCTTAGTAAAGACAGTTATAGAAAAATTAAGAATTAAAAGGAAGATTAATTTTTCTACTTCTACCTACCTCTGGAGTTTCTTCGCTGAATGGTATTTTTCGATAAGATCCTGTTTTATTAATTATAGAAGACATTGTATCATCATATTTTTCATTACATGTTTGTGTTTATTTTGAATAGTGTTGTACAGTATATAGATAGAATTAGATAGTGTTTTTATTCATCAATAGATTTAAAAAGATAATTATTTCTTTCAGCGACACGTCATATAGATTATATTATGCAAGTGCCAAAATACTTGACATCTTGACAACATTGACCAATTGTTGTCAATCTGTCATGTTTCAAAATATTATTGTGTTGTTTCTAGCGGTGCAATTTGTTATACATAAATGATATAACTTTTCATCTTTAAGTTATACATTCACTTATAATGGCTCCGCCTAACTCAGTAGAACTACGACCTAATCGCCGTTTATTAGATCACGAATTTGAAGGTTATAAGTTGAATCTAAACAGTCTTTCGCAACATAGCTTTGAGCTCGAGTGTCTCGTAGACCGGCTGTTCCCTGACGAAGTGCAATATTCCTTTGTTCACGCAAAGCTATTCGCACTCCACAATCACTTGCTACTAGACTATTTCGATCATGCATTTAATTTCTATTATATCGATTGCAATCAACAAGTACGTAACATTACTTTCGAGACCATCACAAACAAATTTCATCAGGCCGTTGTCTACGACGTTCCAGCACACGAGGAGAGAAAATCAGGCCATTTTAATTTATGTTTACTGTTTCCATCGTGTAATTTAGCCGTCGTCAGCGATGGTACCGGATACTTGCATATCGTAGATACGGGATTAAGAAATAAACGTGCTACTGAGAAACAAACGTGGAGCACGCTGCACTCTTGCTTGGCACTGGGAGCTGATAAGTACTTTGTTCTTGTTGATTCAAGAATGCAAGAAATTGACAGTAAAGAAGTGTTACACTGCCTCTTACAGTCTGTGGAGCAGGATGATAAGCATTTCAATTCAGTTCTCACATGGTTATCTTTTGAAAATGATGGTTCAGGATGGAAACAAATAGCTGTAAAATGTGCTCAAGGGAAAGGTATTCTTCATTATGCTGCTATAGAAAGTAGTTGTTCAGCTCTATATGTTGCATCTGATCACATATTTAAATTTACACATGATTCTGAAAAAGCAATAGTGGAACCTTCAACAGAGCAACCGAAACCATTAATGTACACCTGGCTTCAAACAGAAGACGATATTACAATCACATTCCAACTAGAAGATAATTTTGATAAGAAGGAATTGTGCATCAATGTTGCTCCTTTACTTGTAAGAATTTCTTATTCTGGTAAGGTTTTTGTTAATGGCAAATTAAAAAATAAGGTAGCTAGTGAGCTGACGACATGGAATATTCAGGATAATGGTCATATTGATGTATTGCTAACAAAATCTGAAAGTGGAATTTGGGATGAGCTCATTGAAGGTGGAGATAACCATGGTGAACAAATAATTGATGCTAGTCTAGTTGAGGAAGTACACAGGCGGCTAATGCACTTGTGTGCAGATACAGAAGTAACAGCAGATCAAGCTGTTCCTGGATTATCAACACATGGTTTAGAGGAATGTGATGCCGCTTCTGAAGAAGATACCGTTTTAGGTGAGGGAGAAATAACATAACAACTAAACTCATCTTGGTAATTGATAGTAAAGACTAATGTTTACCAATAACATACATACTTAATTTTGTTAATCTATAACTTGTGGACCAACGATGACTTCAACTAATCTTGTAACATATCTTAATTTTGCATGCAATTGATTATTGTAAGATTGTATTATTGCCTTTTCTTTTTTCAGTGCGATTGGATGCAACAATCCACACAACCACACATAGAATTCCACTCAGTGTACACCAATTTCTATTCAGTGTTAAATTAGAAACACTAGAAGTCCCAGCACTCTGTTTACGACATGATGTTGATGCTTGCATATGGCAACCATACCAGCAACTTATTAATTCAGATACATGGCCGGTCAAACATCAAGGAACATTAATGGCATTTGGTTATATACAATCGTCAAAACAAAACAGAAAATTTGTGTCTTGCCCACCAAATTTTTCTTATTCCGTTGTATGTGAAGCATCAAGGCACGTTTTTATTTATAAAAGTTCAGGAAATTCAGACTGTCAGTTAAGAAAAAGATCAGGGGGTGCAATGAAGATGATAAAAATTGGTCAACAATTTGTCTTGAACATTGAGAAAAAGGGTGAAGTGTTAGGAATAAATGCAACTAATGAATATCTATTTATCCTTACTGATAAGATGTTTATATCAATTGAAATGACATAATAAAAGCATTGTTTCTTTTTATTTTACATATAGTAATAAGTTTTAAGTTAATTTCTACTTATTTGCTGGCTTATCATCTTCACTATCGGTATGTATACTCTCTTCTGATGAATAACCTGTTGTAAATAAGAGATTTTTTGGCCGCTTCCTTTTTTGTTCCTTGATTTCCTTTTCAATTTCCTGTTTCTTCTCTTGGGCTACCTTCTCAGTTAATAATAATCTTTTTCTTCTGTATGATGATTCTTCAGACTTGATAGTGTCCTGGCTTGAATCAGGTACTGATTCTTTGGTCATTTTATCAGGTGTTTCATAATCAAATTCATCTTCTATAAAGAAATAAACAAAGTATAATACAAACTGCATAAAAACATGTTATATTAGTGTCTGGAAATTACTATACCTGGTGTGATAATGTCGAAGTTGTATGCATGGTCCTTTAGCACAACAAACAGAATAGGGAATTCTATAATGCACTTTCCTGATAAATTCTCACAAAGTGATTCAGAAAGATCGAGTTCAAAAAACTTTTGGTGCGAACCTTTTACTTTTTCAGCTGGAATCAAAGAGTGCATAATGTAAACTTTATTATAGAATATATTATTAAAGCAGAGGAAGTGGTATCTTGTTATTGTGATATGTTATAGTTTTAAGCCTCATGTATAAATATATGTATTTATATACTAATTAATGTAAATTTAATTCAATACAGTTTATGTGCAACTTTGAAATAAATTATTACTATTATTAAATATCTTTTTTCCTAAGATATTTTTTAAAAATTTTAACATACCTTTCAATAAAACTTTCACCCCACTGAAACCAGCTGACCTATAAAACGTCAGGGCTTTAGAACCCTCAAAAGGTTCTACATCTGTGTTCAAGTATTTACTCAACAACTGTGACAGCTTGACATTTTCAGGGCACTTCTCATCTGTGAACTTTAAGGGTTTTTCTTCTACATTTGGGAACATCCATTCTACCCTCCAATTTATAATGTTGTTTTTAAAATCCAATTTGGTTGTATTTACTTTGTTCCTTGAGAAATTTCTTGCTAGAAATTGTAAAACTATACCCCTTTTCCTTGCAGCTAATTTAAGTTTGTACAAATGCTGAAAAAAAAAATACTTTTTTAGATGGCAAGTGCAAAGAAATTACATATTGCACTAATTTGTTTTAGCAGATAAGTTTTACTACAACCTTGATAACAGGATGACATGATCCTGCAACAAGAGTGTAATAAAAAACCAAACAAAGAAAAGTCTTACAATTGGCAAATCTTTATCAATCCTTGTAAATTTCTTTTTCTCATCTCTTTTAACAGAGTACACAAATCTAGCACATTCTTCAAGCAGTCTGTAATCACTTAATAGGTCAGTATCTGTAAAATCTTTAACTCTAACAAACTTGGTCCTGTCCCTGATTCCATTGCATTCTAGTTCAGCTTTGTGAATTCGGACACAATCCAGGCAGCAAGTCTTTACTTCACATCTAGGACACGTGTATTTTGCTTTATTCGTGCCACAAACCTCACAATCACCCAATCTAATGGAAGTAAATTGTAATATTAATTTTAGAAACATTTTTAAATTTTTCATAAACCTCTAAATTATAAATTACCTTGCTTCTGATGATTCAGGTTCAGAATCACTATCTGAAGATGAAATGCTTCCAAACACCATATCTTTTCGTAAATATTATTATAATTCAACAACAAAATTTTTAATTTAGGTAGAAGCACATGTAAGATTTGTTTATTTTCGTAACTTGTCTGTCAAAAATTTGATCAAGAGGGAATGTCTCTGCGACACTTTAACTTCATTAACAAAACAATTGTACAGACTATATGAGGGTACGTTGTGCTATTTAATGCTATGACAACAAGAAGTCTTTGTCCTATGACAGTGACAGATACAATAAAAACAGATTTCTTATTATTGTTGTTTTATTTTCTATTACCTATTTATTATTTTTATTATAAGTAAATTTAATTACCTAACAATGGGCACAGAAATACAGGGAGACAATTGGGACTACCCATGCTCCGACGACGAGTTAACAGCATGTGGTGTTACGATAGGAAAAAGTTGGATGCCGGATCCTAATGAACTGGAGGAGTTATACAAATCTATTGAAAAGACTGGAACGATTAACCTCGAATGGAAATGCCCTGGACGTAGGGCTCCTTCTCCTGTCCCAGTGTCAAAAGAAAATCAGCCTGAAGCCATGCTAACTTCACCAGTGAGGGAAGAAAAGTCTGACTTTGATTTTATGGACGAAATGGGTTCATTGCATTTGCGCGTACGTCGGGAAGGTGAAGACACGTTACGTGGTTCAGCAAAAAAGAAAACTACTTCATTTGATGGCATTTTGTCAAATATGATAAGACATAAAAGAATTGAACAACTGGAAAAACAGGCTAATACACCAACAAGTTCATCAAACACATGATAAAAATTGTTATCATTGTTTTGAGAGACAAATGTAATTCTATTCAGTGTAGGAATAAATATTGTGAAGTGCTGATTTTATAAATAGAGAGAAACAATTTAATGTATATTTTTGTTTTATAGTTAAAACACAATTGCTTTATATTCTTTTAGTTTATTAATTAAATTATTTTTTTTTTATTACTACATATCTATAATATCAAATCTGATGTCTAGTTAAGGTGTGTGGATCTTTGATTTAAGAGAGCTTCATTTTCTTCTAATACTTGGCGACACTGGTCCATGTTATCTAAAATGTGTTCTAGTTTCCAGTGTTTACGCAACAAGGCATGGTCAAGTGTAAACTTCCCTTGTCTAATACATTGAACACCTGTACAATATGCTGATGCCTTTAATTGTACACCAAGGTCATGAACTAGTGTCCATAAATACTTATCATATTCATTTATTGATTGCACCTCTGTAAAAAGAATGACAGTTTAAAATTACAATTGTAAAGGAAGATAAAACAACAATTTAAATTCTACGCCTTGTCTGACTGAAACATTATTTTTGACCTAAGAAATTATATTATTATAGTATCACATGAAAATAACAATCATTCTCAATGCTAGCTTGAACATATAATTTGCCAAACTGATGTAACAAAGCTTACCTAGAGTAAAGTTTGGTGGTTTGAAATGAACACATTTTAATCCGTATATTACAGGTAATTTACTGTTTGCTGGTCTTATTAAGCCTTTTGATGCTAATTCATAAGTAGTTTCAGATTCCATGTGTAAACCAGACAACCTGTAAATTAAACACAAAGTAACTTGCAAGGCCAATGTTGTAGGTGTAACTTTTAAGATATTAAGGGAGAGAGTTCAGAAGTTCATGGCTTCATAAAGCCATTTTTAGTGTTCTAAAATATTACAATGTTTTGTATGTGTACAAAATATTGTTGCTGAAAAAGCAAAAAGATGTACAGAGTGTATGTTGCAGATATTTATACTTACTGGTACATGGTTCTTTGATGGGCTGCCTGCATATGAGCTACAACTCTATCGATCTTCTCCCTAGTAATATGTTTGTATGTTGTGCGTTCTACTGTTTTTCCATTCCAAAAGTATGTGTCGGTAGCTTTACCCAATTGTCCGTGCACTTTGAAAGCTCTTGTTGGTCGTCCCACATTGATATGATAGGTTAGTTTTGTACCTTCATTTAAACCTAATACTGTAACATATTAAAAGTTGTAACAAGAAAGATATAATGCCATCTTGTGCCATAACATGTGAAAAACTTAAAGCTTTCATACTATGTTTCTGTTATTAGTCACAGTAAACATACACAAAACTCCACTGCTAAACAGTCCCAAATGTGTGGCCCAACTGCATTTGAAATCATCATGTATATAACGTGGTCCACACACTAGAGGGTCATCTGCATAATTTGGTACTATTTTCACTTGCATTGACTCATTTGTGGCACCTACTATTTCCAAGCGCTGCTCTAAAGGCCGATCAGGAAGATTATTTAAATCTAAAATAATGACGATAAAAAGAGCTAGGTAGTGTTTTACTCAAGAATACGTAATTAAACATTATTTTATATAATGGGTACTAGACTAACCTCTACATAAACTAGTTACTATTCTATGCTGTACTTTTGGAATACCCACACAAGGCGGTTTGTATACACAAATAACACCATTTAAAGCTTTAAAAGCTGTCGCTGCGTTTTTAATCTTAACCATTATTTCATCAATCAATATTGTTTTTATTGTGTTATGTTGTTATCGTTATCATTACTTTAAAATACGGACAGATATTACCAATGACAATTGACTTATTGGCACAAATATTAAACGAACAGAATTCTAGTATGAAAGGAATATAAAAATCCATTATAGACATTGAACATCCCTTAACATTTCTATTGAAAAAGTAGGCTTACAATATTCGTAAATCTAAAATCGCATAAATAAAACAATAAAATTACAATTACAAATAAGCTGACGTTTAGACTGGTATCTGAGCTGTGTATTTTAGAAAAAAATATGTTTATTGTCATTACAGTCAATGACAGTTTTCAATTTAGTTTGCTTTGTCAAGTAATGGCTGAACTGTGGCTTAGGTCGGTGGTATAGGAATAGTAGTATTATAATAAACGTTTTTCATCAGTGGCGTTCGACTTGATATTTCTACTATAAAAACTGATAGAACGGTTAAGTGATTATTTTTGATCTGTTGGGCTGGTGTTTTATAGTGAAAATATAAATAAGACCAAGTATTCGTGATGTGATTTCTTTTAAAACATTGAATGGGTAAGTTGGCATAGTATTATGTTTTAACAAATGGGTTATCCAAACACGGAATTTCCTTTCAGCTTCTTATCTTTCGTAGCATACCCTAACTTCCCGTTTGTATCTTCCTAGTAAATTGCACTAAAACATTACCTGATGCAGGCAAAAACGTCTACATATCATAGAGTTGGTGCCAATTTTTTACTTTGCCCTTCGGTGCGTCGTGAATAAACATTATTGCAATGAATGTTTGTGTTACTTGGTATTTTACTTTTTTTAATGAATAACACAGAACATTAAATATCTGACCTATCAAGTCAAGTTACCATAATAGATGCATGTTTTGGGTTAAATGAGAACTAAGTTGAGTCTAATAATAATCTTAATTAAAAGGAAACCAAATTTAACACTTAAACTACAATGTTTAAATCATATTTGTTACATTTCACTTCAACTTAAACATTGAAATTTTACAATTTTGTCTATGTACAACAACTGTGAGGCAGTTTAAAATTCCTTTGGTTAGCTACAGTGTAAGTTACTCGAATATAATTTTTATCATTAACTATAAAACTACACATGGAACTTGTTTCATTCTACTGGGAAATGTGTTAATGCAAAATGAGTTGTATTAGCTATGATTCAAACAAATTTTTCTTTTTTTTAAATTGTATCATTTTTGCATAATATCTATGCTATAATCATATACAAACCTACCTAAATAAAAAGTATTGCTAGAATTGCAACAGATTACCTAATATGTAAATTAAATTATTATTTAACTACTGTTAGTTACATGTAATTAATAAGTTTATTCTTTTACATATATTTAGTTCAGTAGAATTAATAATTTGGCTACAAAGTTACATATTTTAAAATATTTGATCAATGTAAGCTACTGCAACTTGAAGAAAATAAAAGCGTGAAAAATAATTTATCATTCATGATCACTAGTTTGTCAGTTTGTAGCATTTAACTTTAAAATCTTGAGTCACTAATAACACTATACAGCAAATGGAAATTATATGTTTGCATTATGTATTTGAATTGCAGAGATAAATATAGAATAATGGTTTGTCTACACTAACCTAACTATATTGTTATTTTACCAATTTCTCTCCAAACTAGGTATGTGTATCTCACAACAACTGTCGACATCATTCATGAATTTTTGCTCGTATATATATTTTTTTAAATATTAAATTTTAAAAGCAATTGGCTCATTTCAAATCAAGTAGGGAATTGATTCATGTAATGTTTATATATTATCTGTCATCAATATAATATACTGTTAGGAACACTGTAATTATGGATGAAATACTAAAAAATGTCAAACAGTAGGAAGTAGTTTAGTTCTTTAGATGACACTAGCATAGCAATTTTTACTTTGACATTAGGGACACCATCTTCAGTTTCCTTGTGTCCATGATTGCTGCAAAGTATCCGAAAGCCACTAATATATTTCGTGTTTTAAACCGTTTTAATTAAAATTATGACTTATTTAACAGTTTAAAAACTTTACACTTGTTAAGCTTGAAAGCACTCCGTAAACCAAACGATAAAAAATTAACGTTTTTGAAGACGCACCACGTGATCGAATCTAAACGCTCCAGCAATCATCCGCCAAGGTCGCAACGCATTTGCCGAATACAAAGCTAATATACATAAATCACCGCCATAAAAACTCATTGTACATATGTAAATCAACTCATTATTACAGAACATATTGCTTTAAGGATAATGTTTCCAGCTTAATTACTATTCAGATTAGTTACAACTAAGACTTCGAGTTTTAAAGTATTTTAAACAATATCTTTATGTTTGTGGGTTTCTTTATACACAGAATTGAAACTTGTCATATTAAAGGAAACAATTAAATTTAAAGGGTTACAAATCTAGATAAATGCCAATTCTACTCACCTAATTGTTATTATACTAAGGTAACTTATTATTGAAGAAAAAGCGAAAGGATTTCATTTTTTTATAAAGTAACATTGTATTTACTTTATCAGTATATTTAGAGACCTAACAGACAAAATTAATATGTAAATTGTAAAAAGTGTTTGTACATTATAAATTGACTTGTTATTTTGGAAGTAAGAATTCCTTTAACCATGTAGAATTTCATATTCTCCCATGCTTGGTAAACACATTTTAATTTTTGTTTTACTTGGTTGTTACTTAACACTTAACATACATTCGTTACTATTCATGCGGTGATTCGAAGTAGATGGACAAGAGCAACAGTGAAGCTTACGCACGTATGTGACCGCTCCCAATATGTATTCAGTATGTACACAAGGTCAGAAGTCGATTGGGAAAACGAAAGGTCAACCAATCCATGAGCCCTACGACAGTGTCATACTAATGGCCCGACACGACCAGTTGTCATGCGAGGAGGACAGCATGGGGTCCACTTGATGGAAGGTGATATACCCCAGGAACTAAACAAGATGCGCTGTCGGCCTATTTTGGCTTTGGAAATTCGGAAATCCACAGACTGAAACAGAAACCCAATTAAGCTTCACGGCTTTTTCATTTCTGGACGGTGGTTTGTGACTCGGGCGGAATTTTCGATATTCCTACCACCGATTTAATATCCAGAATACCAGACGAAGTCCAATATGTTTCAGACAAATTATAAATTGAAAAATTAAAAACATGGTGGACAATTTTCTCCGTACTTAATTTTCAGTTACTGCCGGATAGCATTTCTTATCGAAGTTCTATCAGCGTCGAAAGGATGGTTAGCTACAAGAGATAGGAAGTCTTGTAAGTCGTTCCTACTTGCATTTCAGTTTAACTTTCTTACTCTTACTCTACGATAAACAAAACTTTATTTGGTAATTTGATTTTGTCTATAGCTTACGCGAGTAGGACACAAATTAAATAAAACACTTTAACTGTTTAAAACGTGATATATTAGTTAAACTTATTTGAAAATGATTTTTAACTTCGGCCCGACGTTTCGGATGCTGTGAAGCAGTGGTCACGGGGAGACGTGGTCGGCTTTACGTATATACATAGTATCGTAGAGCTAGCTGCGACCCAAGAAAGTAGCGATCGGAAATCAAGAATTTGTTGACTCGTTTGCTGTAAGTAGTAGAGTTGGGAAATAAAATATGGAGCAGACAAAATTACTTTTCGTTTCGGTTTTATAATCACGGGATTTTTCTTAAACGCTCGGTCAAAATTCTGTGCCCTACCTGACCGAAACTATTATCGAGCCACAGAGGCAGTACAAAAACATATAGGAAATCAATTTAATAAGTCCATTCCACGTGACGTAGCCAAAGATATAACGAAGCGTTCACGAGGCTGACGTAACGTTACTCAAGTCGGCCATTATGTGAATTTTTCACCAATTACAACTCATTACGAGCAATGATTTCAACTAAAAGATTCCATTGTATGCGATACAAGGTTTCGCTTGAGTTCTGTTGTCTGTTTTGGAATGCAGTCTGCTATCTAAATTTTTATATAACTTATTATAAATCTGTTGTACGCGCTTATTAGAAAAAAAATGCTTATTTATCAATATTAACAGATTTTAATTATGTTCCTATGTGTTTGTGCGCCCCGATGAGTAGTTTAAACCCGTTAATCATCTAAGTGACGTATTTTTATTCTTGAGATATGTATGTCTTAATCTAAGCTTTCGATGTGAATAATTCTTATGTTCCATTGAAGTTTCGAAGAACAATGACACTAGTGTATATACATAAATATATACACTAGTATTAGTTTTTTTTTAAAAAAAGAACCTCCTAATTTAAAGATAAAAGAATGTTAGTGCAAATTCACTACTAATAATTAAACTAAAAATACAGTAGAGGTATAATGTTGCCCTTATGTTTTAGCAACCCTAACATTTTTTAATAATGCGGCATCAAAAACCCCATACAGCTTACAGCTACATATTCACCCTTCTATCATCAACCCCTCTTCATAATTGTTGTGTTCCTAAATTAATAATTTCTCGTTTTGCTCGATAACTGATCAATTATCACTTGGTAAGACCCCCCCGGGCGTCTACCGGTGTCACTTCTCGCCTAGTAAACGGACAGATCAGCACGGAGTAGGGATGTAACAGAGCAGAAATCATTTATATGACAAAATTACCTTTGTCGGATCATTTAGCTATCATATACAGTACAATTGCGTCAATTTCCCTTTAAAAAAGGGAGCAGGGTCGTGCAATCTGTTATCAGTTGAAGCACTCCACTTGTACCATTGTTATCGAGTGATAACCTGTGACGGATGGCTCGCACGGAGTAGCTTGTTTGGTTTCATTTGTTGTTTTATACACGTGTAAACTACGTACGTTTTTTTGTGACCGCCTCTGTCGCCTAATAGTTAACATGTGTCCTGGTTTCGAATCCTGGGGACACTAGAGTATTTCGGATGGTAGGACAGAAGCCTGATCAACTACCTGTAAAAGAATCGAACAGTGAAACGGACACAGAAATGTGTTCGCCCTATGCCCAACACGTGGAAACGGAAATTACCTAATCAGTAAAACTCATATGAGAACATGCGAACGTAATAACTATAAAAAAAAAATAGTAATAAATCTATTTTCTACCAAACATTGTGCCTATTTTATTAAAAGAAAAGTTAGCTCACTGACGTTAATACCTATCTAGATTGAGTGAGTCCATAAGGGCGTATCACACACAGCTCCAGCGAACGTTTACACTTGTGCAAATGTCGAGTGACGCGCAAACATTAACACCGCATTGTTCTCGCTTGTTGACAAGACCGCTGACTTTCAAAAACCATTCGTGCTTGGGTTTTGCGAGGTTTGAGCGCGCATTGTTTCTCAGCGAATTTTTCCTATCGAATCTCTTGTCAGGAAGGAAGACCGTTTGAGTTTTGATTAGACCCTTATGATCAGACATTAGACCCTTAGACTCAAATCGCCACATGCCGCTGCTGAACACAACACTACCTGACCTGACAAACGTTCTTTTGTCATAGTCCATTTCAGCGAAAGTTTTATCTTAAAAGACAGACTATTGCGGCAATTTTTTTATTATTTAAAGAATAATTTACTTATACATATTTTTAGGCTATTTGGAACAATTTTCGCTCAGCACGCAACGGAAACCCTTTAAGATAAATAATCTTCCTCGTTTCTTCCACATTTCCCACAGTATCTTCGCTCTTATTGGTCGCATCGTTATTTTTAAAGCCGTCCTCAATAAATGCTCTAGGCCAATACAAAAAGTTTCGAAGTCTTGGTGATAGGCCCCCGTTTTCATCTGGTGAGTGCGGAATCCTGCGCACGAGTTTTATAAAATTTCTAGTTTTTGTTAAGCTATATAAGTGAAAACCCAGAACAATAACGGATTAGAGCTATTTTTATCAATTGAACGTTGAAACGGCCACTCCTAAGTGCGTTATCAATTTCCTCAATAACGGTGAGCGATTCGAGCTCAATTATGATCTGATTGGATTTTGAGCGTTTCTGTAGTTAGTGGTATGTATTTCCTTGACGATTTCTCTGTTGAATATTATACTTTACATAGGTACTCTATAAATGTGATAAAATGCCGCAATTAAACAGCCCGTTTTATTTAGAGCTAGATGTCCACACCTGCTTTACACGAGTATTAAATAGAATATACATATGTATAAGTTTTTGGTAATTTTTTTGTCATAAACTTATGTAGTTATAAACGTAATTTTGGGTACATATACGTTATTACGTTATTAGTGTATATTATAATCTAGTGTTTGTTGTACCGAAAGTATGCAATCAAAGATTCGGAAAAGCAATTTTGCAGTTAGCGTCGATAAATAAAAATAGATTTATAAACGGTTCAGATTAAACAAAAAAACTACAGCACGGCGTGGCGTAAACCGACATCCACAGCGTCCGTGTCTTCTCTTACCAATTGAGCTACCGTGTTGTGTTTTTGTTTTAAATGTATATAATGCCAACATGTGAAAAAGAATAAAGTATGTCTATCAAGAAGGCCATTTATAGTATACTGTATCTGACAAAATACAGGCAGCACCAAGTGGTAGAGCTAGTGTTATATATATAGGAAGTCACCTTGTCATAATACGCGAGCTCTATCGGCCTTGTATTTGTGCAGACACTCTGACGACGGTCAAAGTCACTGCCAGGCCATTATGGGCATGTTTAGAATTTACCGTCCTTATTGGTATTTGTTGAGGACAGCATTAATATATCAATAAAGAAATGTGTTTTAGTAGCTTTATTAAGCATTTAGAGTTAACTTCACAACTACATGAAAAATTTAATGAAAACACTCTGTTTAACTGTTTAAAACGCAAAATATATTTTTACTTATATTTTAACTGCATTTTGACGTGTCGGACGCTTTGGAGGCGTGGTCATGGGGGACTGTAGTTTTTATTGTTATCCTTGCGTCAAGTTCTTAATGTGGTGGTATTGTATTTACAGACTAAGTCCTGTGGTGTTTTTAACTAATAAATAAATATACAATATTTAATGCTCACATTAATAAAAAAACATTTAACTAGATAAAGTTACATTTCAACAATAGTAAGTAAGTAAAACATTCTATGGAATTATCGTGCAATATTTCTAAATATACAAGTCAATTCCACGAAAATACAACAAATCCAATTACATTACATTTATAGGACATCGGATGGTGAGACCGGTGCGAGGCGCCGCAGACCTGTTTTTATTGCGCAGGAGTTGATACCCGCGTCCTTGGTCTGAATACTGAGAGTTGACATAAATCGCAAACACTGTCCTTCACGATAGCCTTAAATAGAATCGCGTCTTTCTTAACGAGCGTAAGTAAGAAGAAGACATTCAGAATTCAAGAAATTTGGACGTTTAAACATGTCGAGATGTTAAATAAAACACTTTTAACACCCCCACTGACCACGGCACTGCAAATATAGTTAAAATAAATTGTAAATAACGTAACGAATCCATTTCGCATTTTAAACCGTTACTAGTGTTTTATTTGGTTTGAAAACGTTGAGCATTCTTGTAGGTGACTCGGCTGTTAAACACAAACGGCGAATAGATTATGCATTTTAATCAAATTATGAATTGTTTTTTTGAAAGCATCAAAATTCAGTGTTATTAAAATCAATTTGACATTTCAACTAAGCATCTATATTTCAATGTATTATAATGTCCATTAATTATTGTCCGATAATATGTCACGAATTGTATATCGGGGGGTATTCCCCGAATTGGCTATCGGGAATTACCGTAAAACTATCTAACGTAATAATTTCTGTTTACGGATTTTTTTTCTTAAGAAATAAATGATTACCATGAATTTATGATAGAGGAGGACGGACAAGCATGGGGGGAGGCTAGGTAGAATACCACCCGAGCTACATCTATATTAGCTGTCGAATTATTATTTTGGTTATTGACATTCCACAGACTGGAACTGAAATGCAATTGTGCCACAGATGGAAGACTTGTGACAATAGCTTTTACATCTGTGGACAGTGGTTCGTGACCCGGACGGAATTTCGATTTTTCTACCATCCATTTAATATCCAGATTTTTTTTTCCAGATGAAAGGCCCTGCTTTAAACATTTGAATTTGATGATATATAAATAGCAATTGATTTTTAATTGGACAATAATAACCACGGTGGCTCTAATGTCGCCCCAGCTAGCCTGTCCTTGCGTTCTCGGGCTAGTTCTGAGTGAGTGAACCCAAGACGATAGCAATGCAAATCGCCGCGACACTTGTGTAACGGTAACGCGAAGACGCTGGAACTGGCTCGGATGCGGTTTGGACCGCGGCTGACCTCGTTGTCTACACATATCGATTTCGTGTATCGTTTGCGCATTTCTAATCTGTACGACCTACTCGAAAGTAACGCGAAATTAAGCACCTTCAGCCTACACCAAGTCTGTACATCGAAGCGAGTGAAGAACAAAAAGTTTACGCCCACTGACCACTTTTTATCCTTGTTTTTTGTTGGAGATTGTGGAGGGGAGACAATACATTTGGGCTACAAGTTTTGATAAATTAACTATTGTACGTGTTTATATATAAATGTGTGTGTCATATGGAATGGGATGCAAGTAGTTGGCTAGGCTTCTGAGCCCCGCCCGACCGCAAGTATTTGTTACATTGCCCCGGATTGGACTCAGTAACTTTTGACGATTTAAACCGTAGAGGATCGGTTGCGCTTCGTTTTAAAAGATTTATCTTTTATGATCTCACAGGAATTAAAACCGTGGTAGGTATATGGGAGTGGCTGTGTCCCGCTAAAATAAAACACTCTTTACGGGTCAAATCGCGATATGTATTAGTTAATTGAATCGAACTAGATCCGATGATGCCTCCTGACCATGGCTAAGATCAATTTAAGTTAAACAAACCACTTTTAACGGTTCATAACCGCAAAATTAATTAGTGAACGTTTACTTTATATTAGGTAGGTCCGACGTAATTTCTGATGCTTTGCAGCAGTCGTGATCCCCTTGATCGTGTCGTAGTTAAAACAAATTGTCAAGAAGTTAACTAGTATATTTCGCGTTTTAAACCCTTCAAAGTGTTTAATTTAAATGTGGGTAAGCCTTAACGGGTAAATTGTGAATCCGGTCATTGCTCCATCGTTCCAATACTGTCCATATGTTTGAAAATCTTTGATGAAATTAATATAAACTCGATTCGGGCTGTACAAACAATTGCTAGCTATTAGTCTGGTCAGCAACTTGCGGGTCGTCGACCCGAGGCGCGAATGGTGACGTCACTGCTGTCGGCTCGATGAAACTTTGTTCTATAATAAATAGCAACAGCGGCTTATCCTCTGGGAATATCGTTCGCACAACGTAATCTATGGCTAGCCAATCCATATACGCAGAGAGGCGTATGTAAATAAAAATGCCTTTCAAATATATTATTGTATGACGTTTGTTAGTCGATTCTGTTCATTGTCGTAAAAACCGTCACTGCGACGACTGCATAACAACTGCGCGTCAAAAATGGCGGAAACTGTGAAAAAAAACTAAATTCATTAGCTCTTGGCTGGAGAGGCTGGAATATTTTCCGACTACCCTCGCTAATAATTGAGGTCTAGAATAAGTAACGTTGCAAAAAGGAAGAAAATTAACAAATTTGAATAAAATACTTTATTAACAACTTTATTAATACATACAATAGTAAGAAATACTAGTTTGAAATATAGTAAAAAAATGCTATCAACGTTCACTTCACTAATATTGATGTCACACTTTGTTAATTCTGATCTGGAATTCGTCCTGATTGTCCTAGCTCGTATTATACTTACGTAAATAGTGGTCGACTTTTTAAGCTTCGGGCCTATCGCTCAAATCTATATACAATTGTGCTGAGCAGGTTGTCTAAAACCTAGAAATGGTTCATTGTTCAGATTTTAGTCTGGTCCATTTGTTTTGTGAGTGCTCTTTACAAAGCAAAAGCTTTACATTTGCTCAAATGTGGCATCTCTTTCTATATTATGTATATAAAATGGGACCAAAATATCTCATAAACCAAGAACGAAATAGTAACATCGTAAGAAACAGTCAATCTATACTAATCCATATTGCTGAAGAGTTTGTTTGTTTGAACGCGATAATCTCAAAGACTACCGATTGAAAAATTATTTTTGTGTTGGTTAGAACATTTATCGAGAAAGGCTATAAAACGTCACCCTTTGAAATATTCTTAGCGGACGAAGTTGCTGAAACAGATAGTAATACATAACCAATATTATAATAATTTATCAGTAATTTTGAATGTAAATTATGGTATTTATAATATTAATATACATGAATAAAGATGAAATAAAAATAACATTTTTTTTAAGATCTTATCTATTTAAATAAAACACTTTAACGGCTTAAAACTGCGATATATTAGTTAAACTTATTTGAAAATGATTTTTAACTTCGGCCCGACGTTTCGGATGCTTTGCAGCAGCCGTGATCACGGGTAGACTAATATATATCGCGTTTTAAACCGTTAGTGTTTTATTTTAATGTGTATTACTCGCGTAAACTATAGACTATCTTATCTATTTAATCGTTTTTTTTAAATCGCGCTATCGGAATCTAATCGAAAGGCGAAATGTGTTACCCGTAAATCGCTAAATCCTACATTACTCCTGATTAAAATATTTTAAATTGACATAAAATATAGTATGTATGCAATTATTTGCGTTAGTCTACGTAATCTGTGCTACGATATTTCGTAATTTATGTTTGATTAAGTGTGTCAGCAACTTCGTCCGGGTAGAATAGTTTTGGCAGTTCAAATTTATTTTTGCACACCTCCTTTTCATCTTTACACACTTTCACATTTAAGCGTTTATCCACGACGTCGGACGCGTCCCGTCCTTTTTGAAAGTTAATTTTTAAAATTAAAGAGATACTCATACAAGTGTCGCGGTTTTTTTTAGATAATTTAAAGATGAATCAAACTTTCAGACATATTTTTTGGGTAGCTTTAAAGTCGCCGTTTGTCCTTAATTTCAATAAATGTTTAGGTATTTTTTTTGGTTTTTTTTTTTTGTGACAATAAAGAATATTTGTATCTTGAACCGGTTTCGCAGCGTACGCATCGGAATAGATGAATAATTTTCCCCGTTTTTTCCACCTTCCTTTTTCGTTACTTTAAGTCACAGCACGATGTTTTATAGCCTTCCTATAACTTTCTAGATAAATGCTCAAACCAACGCAAAAATATTCTTTCCATTTGAACAAACAAACTCTTGAGCTATATATTAGTATAGATTATATTTAAGTATCTACGGGCCACGTTTAAACCTCTCGCGAAAATTTATAAAGTTTTAAAGCCAAGAACTTAAATATAACGTATCAAAGATAATTTACGTGTTTTTCTATTCTTTGCTATACTTTATTATATATCTACATATAAATAGGCGTATAACCCGAGTTATATGTGTGAATAATGAAAACATGGAATTTTAGCTGTCTCGTAACAGTATTCAAAATTTGCGTACATGACTATAAACATTGTCTTATTCTAATAAGCTGTATTATTGTTAATTTCATATAAGTAAGTTCAGTTGTTATTGCTTTAAAAATTAAGTATTCGCACAATACCTATCAACCTTTTGCTTTATATTAGGATCTATCTTCGTTTAAGTCTGATAGTCGTAGAGAAATATTTTCGACTAGTTTGTTCGAGATGTCTACAATAAGAATGTATTGAAATCTATTATTCTTTATATCTTAATGCATCCGACATTACCAATGTCGTGTGACGTCATAATAGCCACTTACGATAACGTGTAAAGTGCTTTATTTTATCGATACGATATGATGATAATGGCGATTTTATTGTTTCTCAAATGTTTTTAATGTTAATATTCAATTTGTGGTTAACCGAATTGTCTTTACAACGAATTATGTGAATATTATTTCTATTATTACAGCACCATTAATTTTACAAAACCTCGGACTCGTATCTACCCACTGTACTTTCTTTTCCAGAAATTTCCAATCAAATTAATCCATTGCTAAACATCAGATCTTACGTGCCTTTGAAGTATGAAAAAACCAATTCATTTTATCTTTTGCTCTTCATCGCAATGAAGAGTTTACGACGGCGGCGGACAGGCAAGCATGGTATTAACTTGATGGGCCGTCAGATTTACCAGTCAGATTCACAAGATACAATGTCGACCTATTTTGGCTTTGGATATTCGGAAATGCATAGACTGAAAACATAACTTTACGGCTTTTTTATTCCTGGTCGTAGTTCTTGACGGAATCACGACATTTCTACCACCAGATTTCCAGATGAAGTCCATCATGGTTTAGACAAATTATAGAATTGATTAGATACACGATGGCTCCGGTAGGGCTATTTTTTAGCTATACATTGCTAATTTTAGACTAGCCCGTCAAAGAGTAGGTGTTTTTCTTTTAATGTTAAAACCTCTTTCATCCAAGTAGGTACACTCTCTTTATAAGGAATCTATTCGTCTCTAGTTTCCCACGAGTTCGACAGCGTATGCCCTCATTGCACAGCTGACATTCCCGACACATGTTAGAGCTCTAACAGATGTCAGTGGTCTAATTCGAATGTTAAACCAAACAGAAATAACGGGGTTTGATCGCCATTACTTAAATTTGGTGTTACCTTTTAAATAGTTCTTATATCGTCGCACTTTGCCACCATTTCTTATTAAATACTGTCCGTAGTTTATGCGAGTAGTACACATTAAAATAAAACACTGTAACGGCTTAAACGCGATATATATATTAGTATCCCCGTGACAACCGCTGCTGGAAAGCGTCGGAAACGTCGGCCGTAGTTAAAATATTTTTTTTTAATAAGTTTAACGAATATATATATATATATCTCGTTTTAAATCGTTAAAGTGTTTTATTTAAACCATTTCTTACTATTAAAGGGATTATTTAAATTTCGAATTCCATTGAGATAATAAAAGAAGAGCAATATCATCAATCGCCTTTTGACCAGTATGGCTCTTAGAAACTATAGTTGTATATGTTTCGTTCGTGTTTTATATCATCATGACAAGTCCCTAACAAAACTCCTAAGCATAGAATTGCACCATAGTTATATCGCAGCTTATTGCTATTTCCACGATTGACGTTACACGTGCCATATGAAATGTGATATTTGTTTATTTCCTTTTACGGAACGGAAATCACATTTAATATCACTCGTTAGTCTAATGGTAGCAATGTACGGGTAATAATCAACGCGGCACCGGGTCCAACATGCTTATAATCAATTTAGTATTTTTTTTAAACACGTCGGACTTCGTCTGGAAATATGTATATTTTATGGTCAGCGGGAACTTCGAAAATTCCGTCCGGGTCA